TAATGTGAACTGAGTGTAACCAATTTTATACTAAGTTCAGTATTTAAATTGGAATGGCTGTTAATTCCTGATTTTAAGGTCTTTGAGGATTAGCTGTTAGTCATATTATTCAATCTTAGTTCTATCTTGTGTTAATGACTGGGATTTGTATTGCTGCCTGGTGCATGCGGAGTCCTTGATAGTTTTGATCTTTGCCTGTTGTAGGTGGAGTAGAGCTAGGCCTAGTTGACAAGAAATAAGTGGATAGTTCTGATCTGCTAAATTTCATTTTTAACTTGGTTATAATATTTTTTTGAAAAACTCCTTTTTGGTCCTTGTCTGTTACCCTGGCAAAAAAAGGGATCTATATAGGTGCAAAATTAACTAATTACCTGTCCTGTAGGCAAGCATTACTCTTTAAGGGACATTGGAACAGAAACATGCGCTTAGTCTACTTGACATTGGGCCTGCTCTGTCAGTAAACCAAATGTGTTTAACTTCCAGGACTGTCAATTCATACCTCTTGACTAAAGCTACACTAAACATGCTTAAAAGTTGAAGCGACTTTCTTCCTATGTTGATATAGAACTTTTAATGTTCGACTGGAATAACATCCTGCTCTTGTCTGGCACCATGCTTTCTTTCTTTGTTTCCTTAATTGGTTTCCAGCTATGTTAGTTTATAATGAACTTCCACTTAAGTGAAATATTTTACATACTTTTTCTAAATAACTTGGAATATAGTCATTGCCCTGAAAGCAGGCAAGTTGTAAGAGTTTGAGGGAAGGCTTGCTGAACATCTTAAGCACAGGATATTTACTATCCCTGCACTTGAAACTTTTTAGGGGCATAAAGGCTTAAGGGTGTGTGTAACTAGCACATGTACTCCCCTTTCACCCCCATGAGATGTGGTCCATGCAAAACTGATACTCTGTAAGTACTTGGAAAAAAACTTGAACTCAAGTCTGTCTTTCTAGCTACTTGTTTTAGTAGAATCCTGACATCACCTTTTAAAGATGAGAATGTATACTACTTTATCTTTGTACCTGTCTGTAGAATTTGGTATCAGTGGATCATTTACACAATCCTGGGGCTTTCCTACCTTTTTAATTTTTTTTCAAATGCTGAAAGTATCACCACCTCTCCTCCAGAAGAGGAGATACCTGAGCAGTGTTTTTCTGTTAAAGAGCAAGGAAAGGCTTGTGCATTTTAAGTGGCCTCCCTTTGTTTTCAGCATTGCTTTCAATATTGCATTGATCATATGAGAGTTTTTTGGTCCTTTTTGACTAAAAATAGTTAACCTGTACATAATGGGTTTCTGGTACAACCTAGTTTCTACAGCTTCATGTACGTGGACTTTTAAAAATGTTCCAATCTGTTAGACTGCACAAATAGTCATCCACATACTTAATCTCTTGACCTAGAGTTTATCTGGGAAAAGTACAAATACAGGTCACTGAATGCTGATGCCGGAAATCCCATATGGCATTCAAGTAGCTATGATCTTTTAAATATGAACCCCTATCTTTAAAACTTGCAAACCTCTGAGCTTGAGTACTGTGTTTTTTTTTTTTTAAAGATGAAATTTTGCATTGGGTTACATTAAACAGTTTTGCAGTAACACAAGCTTGTATTCCAAAGGATCCTGTCATAGCTGTGTGGAGTTAATGTCTTGTGACCCATATAAGCAGATTTAGAGCACAGTCTGCATTGTGGTATTGCACCATCTGGTGGCTCTTAAACAGCTATTAAAATGGTATTACTGTACTTCTATAGCTAACCAACTAGCAAGTTACTGGAACTCTGCTTATGTTACACATTCATATTTTCTCAATAAAAAACATGTCTATTGTGTGTGTGGGGGGGAATGACTGCTTTTACATTCTTTAGAATCAGAGTAACGAAAGCCTGCTCTGAGTTTAATGTAGCCACTTTACCCATTGAAGCTTAAAAGGTGCCTCCCTACAGCATTGCACACAGGTGGATTATAGTATACTTTAAGCTGCTAACCCAGTAGTTCTTGATCTTTTTTTTAAGCATGTACCCCTCCATAATTTTTTGATCAACTCTCTGGGGCAAAAAATGCATGAATAACCTTTTAATTAACATAACACTTGACTGACAGTGCCCCAGTTGAAAAAAATAATTACTCTGGACAGATGGTGTCTGAACACCCCAGATCTGTAATGTATTTATCTATGAAGCAGTACCCTGAGGCTAAGTAATAGTATGAGCAGAGACTAAGGGTCACACTTGTATTTCACTCTGTTTAAATATCAATTACAAGGTTGTGTGGTCTAGACATCTTGATTTTTTTCTCTTTTTTTAATGCAAAATGAGACTGTCTAGGAAGAAGGGCTTTGCGTGGAAAAAAACAAACAAACAAACAAAAAAACA